AGGGTCACTAGGAGATGGCAGCACCTCCATTAAAATTCGACGCGAACTTTCCGCGAGAATCCGATGTGTGCTGTGTCATGCCCTGCTTATAGCTCTGTACAGCCTAGCTTGCAAGTCTGCAAAGGTACGGGGGCTGTCGTTCTACGTGTGGAAAATACGTGTGTAGGCGCGAAGGCAGCCGGTTATAACCTACGACGACGACGACGACGACGACTCATAGGTTGTGAGCGGAATATGGTTTAGGGGATTGGAAGGGGGATGAGAATCGGAGGCTGTGCCTATATGTCCCCAAACGGGAGAATCTGTTCAACATTTCTCTTCTCGATTCTTTTTTCTTTCCCTCATGAGAATTCGTACTTTCCTGCTCTCTTTTATATTTCTCTTTCTCTCTTTTTTTTTATTTATTTTCAACCGTACATCGATTTGTTAACTGGTAACACGTTTGATTCGAGATATTCCTTTTTTTTTCTCGCCCTCGATTGGAAATACCTACGCCGAGCGCAAATATTGATGGCAGCTCGTGGAAACTTCCCCGTTGGCAGTAGATAGGATGTCAGGTGTTCGATAAATGCTGAATCACTGCAATTTTGCATTTTTAAAGTCCTGCCCCTTCTGTCCTAGCCTATTTCTCGCAGACCGTACTGCAAATTTCCTGGGAGAAGGAAACGTGGATTATCCCTTTTCTCTCTTTTTTTTTTTCATCCCTTTCCTTTCTTCGTCTCCATTCCCTCCTCCCCCACTTCTTTCTTTATCCTCACAGCGCAAAGCCGATTTATCGCCAAATTCGAGAGAGCGTTTTCTCGCTTGTCCCGGTTAAATTAGCTCGGCTAATTAAAAAAGAAGGAAAGGGCGGAGAGAAAAGAAGAAGTGGAAGAAGAAGAAGAAGAAGAAGAAAAAGAAGAGGAAGAGAGAAAAAAAGGAAAATAGGGAAGTTGTTTCTCGCAGCCGCGTATTCGTCCTCTTTTTTTTTCCCCCGGATACTTTGCACCGAGCGGTTCTCGAGGGTTCTCGAGGGGGTGAAAGGTGGTAAAGCCTTATAAATCCGGCGAATGGAAGAAGAAAAAAGAAAAAAAGCAACAAAAATCACCATTTTTAAAAAGAACACGAACGAAAGAGATTCGTTGAACGTTCATACAGGAATTATCCCGCATGCCGTTCTAAATGCCGCAGAAGGACGGATAACAATCGATTATCGCGGCCCGACACGGAGCAACACTCGAGCGTATTTCCAGCGTGCAGGATGATCCTGCGTCGGAATGGAAGGGTAGAGTAGGTAGAGAAATGTACGCTTAGGCATTAATTTGCATTCTCGGTAATCCTTAATTTACAACTCCACCGGAGTTTTCCAGAGGGTAGCATCGGCGAGTTCTCCGCGGAATTGGCTCGGTGTGCACCCACACCTTGCCGAGTGGAAACACGTAGAAGAGAACGGATGCTGGTTCACGGAGTGGGGGGAGGGAGGGGGCACGAGTGCGAGGGGTAGTGGTAGCAAGCGAGATGGTGGGGGTTGGATATCGAAGTAGAGGAAAGGAGCAAGAGGAGATGGAGGGTGGAGGGAAAAGGGATTCGGTAGACAGGGGCTGTGGCTGGGGTAGTCGGCTGGCCTCGTTGGTGGGGGCTGGGGACTATGAAATGGCGGAATAGGAAAGGGGTAGGGGACATCGGTGGAGGGACGAAAAGAGGGGCGATGGACGGAGGTCGAGAGTCGCGGGTTGGCTCACTCTGCGGCTCCCGCCGCTCGGGAGCAGACACGCGGGGCCAAAGACTAATTTGAACCTATTTTATTAACAAAACAAAAACATACATATTTGTAAATAACACTAAATAACACGAAGTAATTACACACGTCTCCTAAAGTCTCTATTATCTACTCTAAATAAAAAAAAAAAAAAGGAAACTCTTAGACCTCTGTAAAAAAAAAAGCGAAAAAACAAAAAGAA